GAGCAAGAGGGAGGAAGAGGAAGGGGAGGAGCAAGAGGGAGCAGAGGGAGGAAGGGGAAGGGGAGGAGCAAGAGGGAGGAAGAGAAAGGGGAGGAGCAAGAGGGAGGAAGAGGAAGGGGAGGAGCAAGAGGGAGGAAGAGGAAGGGGAGGAGCAAGAGGGAGCAGAGGGAGGAAGAGGAAGGGGAGGAGCAAGAGGGAGGAAGAGGAAGGGGAGGAGCAAGAGGGAGGAAGAGGAAGGGGAGGAGCAAGAGGGAGGAAGAGGAAGGGGAGGAGCAAGAGGGAGGAAGAGGAAGGGGAGGAGCAAGAGGGAGCAGAGGGAGGAAGGGGAGGAGCAAGAGGGAGGAAGAGGAAGGGGAGGAGCAAGAGGGAGCAGAGGGAGGAAGGGGAGGAGCAAGAGGGAGGAAGAGGAAGGGGAGGAGCAAGAGGGAGGAAGAGGAAGGGGAGGAGCAAGAGGGAGGAAGAGGAAGGGGAGGAGCAAGAGGGAGGAAGGGGAGGAGCAAGAGGGAGCAGAGGGAGGAAGGGGAGGAGCAAGAGGGAGCAGAGGGAGGAAGGGGAGAAGCAAGAGAGAGGAAGAGGAAGGGGAGGAGCAAGAGGGAGCAGAGGGAGGAAGGGGAGGAGCAAGAGGGAGCAGAGGGAGGAAGGGGAGGAGCAAGAGGGAGCAGAGGGAGGAAGGGGGAAGGGGAGGAGCAAGAGGGAGGAAGAGGAAGGGGAGGAGCAAGAGGGAGGAAGAGGAAGGGGAGGAGCAAGAGGGAGGAAGAGGAAGGGGAGGAGCAAGAGGGAGCAGAGGGAGGAAGGGGAAGGGGAGGAGCAAGAGGGAGGAAGAGGAAGGGGAGGAGCAAGAGGGAGGAAGGGGAGGAGCAGGAGGGAGGAAGGGGAGGAGCAAAGGAGGAGGAGGAAGGGGAGGAGCAAGAGGGGAGGAAGAGGAAGGGGAGGAGCAAGAGGGAGGAAGAGGAAGGGGAGGAGCAAGAGGGAGGAAGAGGAAGGGGAGGAGCAAGAGGGAGGAAGAGGAAGGGGAGGAGCAAGAGGGAGGCAGAGGGAGGAAGGGGAGGAGCAAGAGGGAGGAAGAGGAAGGGGAGGAGCAAGAGGGAGCAGAGGGAGGAAGGGGAGGAGCAAGAGGGAGGAAGAGGAAGGGGAGGAGCAAGAGGGAGGAAGAGGAAGGGGAGGAGCAAGAGGGAGGAAGAGGAAGGGGAGGAGCAAGAGGGAGGAAGGGGAGGAGCAAGAGGGAGCAGAGGGAGGAAGGGGAGGAGCAAGAGGGAGCAGAGGGAGGAAGGGGAGAAGCAAGAGAGAGGAAGAGGAAGGGGAGGAGCAAGAGGGAGCAGAGGGAGGAAGGGGAGGAGCAAGAGGGAGCAGGAGGGAGGAAGGGGAGGAGCAAGAGGGAGCAGAGGAGGAGGGAAGGGAAGGGGAGGAGCAAGAGGGAGAAGAGGAAGGGAGGAGCAAGAGGGAGGAAGAGGAAGGGGAGGAGCAAGAGGGAGGAAGAGGAAGGGGAGAGCAAGAGGGGAGCAGAGGGAGGAAGGGGAAGGGGAGGAGCAAGAGGGAGGAAGAGGAAGGGGAGGAGCAAGAGGAGGAAGGGGAGGAGCAGGAGGGAGGAAGGGGAGGAGCAAGAGGGAGGAAGAGGAAGGGGAGGAGCAAGAGGGAGGAAGAGGAAGGGGAGGAGCAAGAGGGAGGAAGAGGAAGGGGAGGAGCAAGAGGGAGGAAGAGGAAGGGGAGGAGCAAGAGGGGAGGAAGAGGAAGGGGAGGAGCAAGAGGAGGAAGAGGAAGGGGAGGAACAAGAGGGAGGAAGAGAAAGGGGAGGAGCAAGAGGGAGGAAGAGGAAGGGGAGGAGCAAGAGGGAGGAAGGGGAGGAGCAAGAGGGAGGAAGAGGAAGGGGAGGAGCAAGAGGGAGGAAGAGGAAGGGGAGGAGCAGAGGGAGGAAGGGGAGGAGCAAGAGGGAGCAGAGGGAGGAAGGGGAGAAGCAAGAGGGAGGAAGAGGAAGGGGAGGAGCAAGAGGGAGGAAGAGGAAGGGGAGGAGCAAGAGGGAGGAAGGGGAGGAGCAAGAGGGAGCAGAGGGAGGAAGGGGAGGAGCAAGAGGGAGCAGAGGGAGGAAGGGGAGGAGCAAGAGGGAGCAGAGGGAGGAAGGGGAGGAGCAAGAGGGAGCAGAGGGAGGGAAGGGGAAGGGGAGGAGCAAGAGGGAGGAAGGGGAGGAGCAAGAGGGAGGAAGAGGAAGGGGAGGAGCAAGAGGGAGGAAGGGGAGGAGCAAGAGGGAGGAAGAGGAAGGGGAGGAGCAAGAGGGAGGAAGAGGAAGGGGAGGAGCAAGAGGAAGAGGAAGGGGAGGAGCAAGAGGGAGGAAGAGGAAGGGGAGGAGCAAGAGGGAGGAAGAGGAAGGGGAGGAACAAGAGGGAGGAAGAGAAAGGGGAGGAGCAAGAGGGAGGAAGAGGAAGGGGAGGAGCAAGAGGGAGGAAGGGGAGGAGCAAGAGGGAGGAAGAGGAAGGGGAGGAGCAAGAGGGAGGAAGAGGAAGGGGAGGAGCAGAGGGAGGAAGGGGAGGAGCAAGAGGGAGCAGAGGGAGGAAGGGGAGAAGCAAGAGGGAGGAAGAGGAAGGGGAGGAGCAAGAGGGAGGAAGAGGAAGGGGAGGAGCAAGAGGGAGCAGAGGGAGGAAGGGGAGGAGCAAGAGGGAGCAGAGGGAGGAAGGGGAGGAGCAAGAGGGAGCAGAGGGAGGAAGGGGAGGAGCAAGAGGGAGCAGAGGGAGGAAGGGGAAGGGGAGGAGCAAGAGGGAGGAAGAGGAAGGGGAGGAGCAAGAGGGAGGAAGAGGAAGGGGAGGAGCAAGAGGGAGCAGAGGGAGGAAGGGGAAGGGGAGGAGCAAGAGGGAGGAAGAGGAAGGGGAGGAGCAAGAGGGAGGAAGGGGAGGAGCAGGAGGGAGGAAGGGGAGGAGCAAGAGGGAGGAAGAGGAAGGGGAGGAGCAAGAGGGAGGAAGAGGAAGGGGAGGAGCAAGAGGGAGGAAGAGGAAGGGGAGGAGCAAGAGGGAGGAAGAGGAAGGGGAGGAGCAAGAGGGAGGAAGAGGAAGGGGAGGAACAAGAGGGAGGAAGAGAAAGGGGAGGAACAAGAGGGAGGAAGAGAAAGGGGAGGAGCAAGAGGGAGGAAGAGGAAGGGGAGGAACAAGAGGGAGGAAGAGAAAGGGGAGGAGCAAGAGGGAGGAAGAGGAAGGGGAGGAGCAAGAGGGAGGAAGGGGAGGAGCAAGAGGGAGGAAGAGGAAGGGGAGGAGCAAGAGGGAGGAAGAGGAAGGGGAGGAGCAAGAGGGAGGAAGAGGAAGGGGAGGAGCAAGAGGGAGGAAGGGGAGGAGCAAGAGGGAGGAAGGGGAGGAGCAAGAGGGAGCAGAGGGAGGAAGGGGAGGAGCAAGAGGGAGGAAGAGGAAGGGGAGGAGCAAGAGGGAGGAAGAGGAAGGGGAGGAGCAAGAGGGAGGAAGGGGAGGAAGAGGAAGGGGAGGAGCAAGAGGAAGAGGAAGGGGAGGAGCAAGAGGGAGGAAGAGGAAGGGGAGGAGCAAGAGGGAGGAAGAGGAAGGGGAGGAGCAAGAGGGAGGAAGAGGAAGGGGAGGAGCAAGAGGGAGGAAGAGGAAGGGGAGGAACAAGAGGGAGGAAGAGAAAGGGGAGGAGCAAGAGGGAGGAAGAGGAAGGGGAGGAGCAAGAGGGAGGAAGAGGAAGGGGAGGAGCAAGAGGGAGGAAGAGGAAGGGGAGGAGCAAGAGGGAGGAAGGGGAGGAAGAGGAAGGGGAGGAGCAAGAGGAAGAGGAAGGGGAGGAGCAAGAGGGAGGAAGAGGAAGGGGAGGAGCAAGAGGGAGGAAGGGGAGGAGGAAGAGGGAGCAGAGGGAGGAAGGGGAGGAGGAAGAGGGAGCAGAGGGAGGAAGGGGAGGAGCAAGAGGGAGGAAGAGGAAGGGGAGGAGCAAGAGGGAGGAAGAGGAAGGGGAGGAGCAAGAGGGAGGAAGAGGAAGGGGAGGAGCAAGAGGGAGGAAGGGGAGGAAGAGGAAGGGGAGGAGCAAGAGGAAGAGGAAGGGGAGGAGCAAGAGGGAGGAAGAGGAAGGGGAGGAGCAAGAGGGAGGAAGGGGAGGAGCAAGAGGGAGGAAGAGGAAGGGGAGGAGCAAGAGGGAGCAGAGGGAGGAAGGGGAGGAGCAAGAGGGAGGAAGAGGAAGGGGAGGAGCAAGAGGGAGCAGAGGGAGGAAGGGGAGGAGCAAGAGGGAGGAAGAGGAAGGGGAGGAGCAAGAGGGTGCAGAGGGAGGAAGGGGAGGAGGAAGAGGGAGCAGAGGGAGGAAAGGAGAATGGAGAAGAGGAGGAAGAGGAAGGATGGGGAGGAAGGGAAGGAGCAAGAGGGAGAAGAGGAACGAAGGGGAGGATCAAGAGGAAGACGGTAGGAATGAGAAGAGCAAGAGGGGGGAAAAAATGGGAAGGAGAAGAGCAAGAGGAAGATGAAGTGGGAGAAGAAGCAAGGAAGGTGGCAATGCGGGAGAAAGAGAAAGGGTGGGTACAGGGAGGAGCGTGGGGGGGGGGGGGGAGGAAGGGGGAAGTGGCAGAGAAAGAAAGGAATGTCTAGTAGAAAGACACGGTGGGGGGGAGGAGGGATTACAGAGGAGGGAGGGGGAGTAGCAGAGGAGGAAGTGGAGATGGTAGAGGGGGGAGGAGGAGTGGCAGAGGAGACAAGGGGAGAACAATGGAGAAAAGAGGGGAATGGCACAGGAAGAAGGGGAGACAGTAAAGAAAGATGGGAGGATGGAGGGCGCAGAGAGTGACAATAGGGGGTGGTAAAGGAGGCAGGAATTGCGGCAGAGGAGGAGGAGGAAGGAGGGAGGGGGGGGGAGAACAGAAGAGAGAAACTACATACAGACATACAGATCTAATAATAAAGAAAAAAAAACCATCTAAACGCAAAATAACAGCCGACTCGCTGCCGAAATCAATAGCACCAAAAACAAAATCGCATCATCAAATATGGATTCGAAGCCGGAAAGTCCCGCGGCCGACCCTCCATAGGCCTACTTACGTGTCTGGTGGCGTTGGGTTCGGCGCCCTGGTCCAGCAGCTCCTTCACGAGCGCCACGTGGCTGTTGGCGGCGGCGAGGATCAGCGGCGTTGTGCCATCCTGCAATGTTGCATCGTGAGTCAGTCTTTTTTTTTTTTTTTTTTTTTTTTTTTTTTTTTGGGGGGGGGGGGTAGGGTGAGGGGGGAAAGACGTGTATGTATTTATTTTTCATTTTTTTATTTATTTACTTATTTTTTTTTTTTTTTTTTTTTTTTTTTTTTTTTTTTTTTTTTTTTGTGTGTGTGTGTGTGTGTGTGTGTGTGTGTGTGTGTGTGTGTGTGTGTGTGTGTGTGTGCGCGTGCGTGTGTATGCATTATTTATTTTTATTTGTTTGTGGCAACAGTCATTATTGCCACTGTAGGACACAGGCCTCTTTCAATTAATTATTGAGAGGTTATGTTCCAAAACCACCCTTGCCTAATTGGATGCCCTTCCTAATCAACCGCGGTTCAGCGCGGTGCCGCTCGTCACACGGCGGCGGCTTCCCCTACATGTAAATATGTATCTCTGTATGCATGCATGTACGTATACATGTGTTTGTATGTATATATTGTATTTTTTGCCTACAACTTGTCTAGAATTCAACAAGTTCCTCTTAACAGTGCTATCTTCTCCACAGCCGATGGCTTTGTACCTCAATTGTTGAAAGTGGATGAGGCAAACTACTCTTAAAACCGCCTGCAGTCTGCGGAGTCTGGACACCATTGTGCAGACCAGCGTGAGATAAGACCTCCCCTTGCTCCGAGACATACATTATGATACGGAACTGGGACCTGAGCAAGCAGTAGGCGTTTTTTTTTTTTTTTTTTTTAATGCAGAAATATTGACCTAGGGAATGTTTTGGAAGCTAAAATGAAAATTCCCAAGCCATGTCTGAGAGGTTCACGCCTTTGTTTCTCTTTAAAAAGTTATTTATATATCTTTGATGGTATTGCATTAAAACTGGACCTAATTTTTAAGATTTTTTTTTTTAATATTGACGAGATCCCATAAAAAAACACTGGGCCTTCAGCCTTCTAGGTGTAATGAAGGACCATACTTTGCATTTAAAAATAAAAGAGAGAGATAGAGAGATAGTGTGTACACGTATGCGTTCGTATACGTGTGTCCTAGCTACATCAGAGTGATCCGAAACGACAAGAAAAAGGGTGAAGAAACACAAGAGACTGGAAGGAAGCAAACCGTCCCCGTACCCGGTCGGCGCAGTCGACGTGGACCCGGCCCGTGTCGAGCACCCGAACCGCCTCCTCCACGTCGCCGCGCACCGCAGCCGCATGCAGCCGCTGGTCGAAACGCGTAGACACCTGCGGAATGAGACAGACAGGTTAGAAAGACACACGCAGGTAAAAAGTGTGGCTATGATGGCTTTACAGTTAAACGCCGTGATACTTTTTTAAAGAGAGGTGCTCGGTGGCGAAGACCGTTGCTTGAAGAAGATGGTCCTGTTGGGAATGAGAATGCAAGGTAGAGGGAGGCAAGAGTCAAAAAGAAAAGGGGAGGAAAACATATTACAATGATATAAGATTTATAGATGGAAATAATCTATATTCATAAACTAAAACACACGAGTCACAAGCACAATTTCATCCTACATAAAATTACTTCCCCCACAAAAAGGGGTCGTTATATCATCAGACCTCGACATTAATCTGAAAGTGAAAAAGATAGTCAATCCACAGCATATATGACCCAGCGGCATGCGAGTTCAATGACCTATGAACAGCGCCGACGGTTAGCGGTCGCAAAAATAACGCCGATGGACAACAGATGGCGCGCACTGCGAGCTTTTGAATGACGTTTAAAGAGCGACCTGGCGATGTATTTCAGTGCCGGTGGATTTTGTTCATAAATCCGATGAATAACATTGAATAACGCCGTCCCTTCATCAATATTGCCCCCCACAAACACGGATCAGTAAATTAATCATGGGTAAGTGGTGTACAGAGACCGACTGCGGCCGTGTTTACCCAGTTCCCCCAATGCGACTGCATTTCGTCTTTAAACACGTAAAATTAAAAAGTGTATTTATTTTTGGTTGCTAATTCATCATGTCGCACAGCTATATTCCTGGAAAGTAAAATAAAACTGAATTACTGTAAAATTTACTTTAATATATTCTTGTTAAGTTCACAGTTAACTGAAATTTAAATACTAAACAAAGGTTTCACGTTTTGGGGGTAAATTCTTTAATATGGTATTTGTGTCATTGAGAGAAATATATGTAGTATAAATGTTTCTTGAAATAATGAAGATGCTAAAGTTTTATTGTGGAAAATGTAAACACATCTTCCCGACTTTATTTGGACGTGGCGACTCTGACTGACACTCACTCACTCACTCACTCTCACTCTCTCACTCTCTCTCTCTCTCTCTCTCTCTCTCTCTCTCTCTCTGTCCCAATATCATCCACTATCTACCCTGGCTGACCTCACCGGCAAACTCTTCTCTTAACACATGTACTGGAACTGTTTCCAACTCCCCGGCTGATTGCCCTGTCTACAACAAAGATTAATCAGACTGTGATGGCGACCTACTTGCCTGCCTCGCTGACTATGATGCAGTGTTACAATAATCCCCCTAGAGGCCGCCATAAGTCCCACATAAATATTGCAAGATTACCTTTCGTAGACATGACCTTCCCCATAAGGTCTATATAGGAGGAGAATCTTGCCCTGTCAGACCATATCAACCCCCACCCCGTCCATGTCAGAAATGCTGGCGTTTTTGGCCTCCCTGCAAAGTACTGTCGCTCTACAGCTCACTCCGCAGCCCTCTTTGTGACCAGCCCGCTCATGACCGTTCAACTGCCTTCCACAATCATGTATGGGTGCTAATTGCGGTGGCTCCTATAATGTATTTTATAGGAGCTATCCTGCTTACATTTCATACATCAGATGCAAACTCGACCTCCCTATGAGAGGCCAGACAGGAAGCACGCCGACGAGGATTTTCAATCAATTCCTACTCCAATACCATCCTTCACTCCACTCTACATCTTCCTCAGTACCACTAACCCCTAGTCCCCAGTTCTACTTCCTTTACCTCCCCATCAAATCCTTTTTCCATTCTTAAATTAACTCCCTCTGTCTCTCCCTACTCCTCGCCTTACCTCTCGCACCAGGCAATCCAAACGTTAAACCCTATCTTCTACCACATCCCTTCCCACACCTACATCCTCGAATCCTCAGAAGCCTATCTCTTCTTCACCTCCTCATAAAATATCCTTCGCTTCCCAAACCTCCAAAAAGCCTTCAAGACATTAGAAACTTCCTCAGCGTGACCCAGGAGAAAGTTCCTCTCATCCATCCTCCAATTTCTCTGCCCTCGTTCCGGATACATTCAAAGTGACTCCTGACACCATCCTCCTCATCCTCCTCCTCTTCCTCTTCCTCCTCCTCAAATCCCCCTAACTCCCTCCAACCCCCCCCCCCCCCCCCCGACGCACTGTATCCTCTCCTCCACCCACACACAATCCCCTAATTCCCTACTATCCCCACCGCTCCCTCCTGGATACACACGTGATGAATTCCTCTTGCCACAATGTCCTTCCCCGGATCCCACCTTCCTGATACTGGTGAACCTCCTGATACTCCACCTTCACCTCCTTCCCCTGATCCTAGGTACTCCTCCTCTTCCTCAGACGTTCATCTCTACCCTGATCACCGACTGACTGATCCACAATGACTCTTCTGCAGTGAAACATTCGAGGTTTTCGTTCTCACAAACCTGAATTTCGCCACCTTACATCTTCCTCCAACTCATCCATAATCCGTTTCCAAGAAACCTTCCTAACACATCCGCCAATACCGATATCGGATGATCATTATGTATTATCGCCTCACTATGTCCTCTATACACGTCCATAAAAAAGACGTCATACACTAAACTTCATTTTCTAACCACTGTCCTTTGCACAAAATATACACATCTTTCTTCGCATTTGGGTCACAGTTGTTTCAATTTACATTTCTCCTTCTCTTTCTCTTTCCATTGCCTTCAGTGCCTTCGAAACTTTACTTTCTCAGCTTCCACCGCCATTCCTCATAGTCGGTGATTTCAACTGCTGCCTTGCCCTCTGGGGTGACTCTACCACTAACTCCCGAGGCCGATCCCTGGAACGGTTTCTTTCTAACACTGACCTTATCCTTCATTCAGCCCCACTCACTTTGGTATGCGTGTCTTGATCTTTCTGTGTGCTTTCCTTCCCTTCTTCCTGTCTTTCAATGTTCAGTTCCTTCCATATAATGATCAGCTTCCTATTCCCTCTCCTGCTTCCTATGTCCTGCTCCCAACCCCCATGCTAGTGCTTTCGTAGACCAGGCTGGTGTACTTTTACCTCTCTCTCTGCTTCTCGCCTTCCTTCTCTTCCACATCTGACAGGCATTCTTATTTCACAGTCATGGTCTTGAGTCCTGTCTTCACAGCCATTCCCGAATTTCCCGACCATACATATCTTGGTGGAACACTGAATGCCCCAACGCAATTAGATTGAATCTTGCGGCATGGAGTAGTTATCACTACAAGTGAAATCTACATTTACCTCCTCTACACTTACTTCTACAGTATGGCGTAGAATCGATAAACTATCAGGGAAACATCCCCTCATCCTGCCCCAGTACACAACATCCATAAAACACTCATTTATGTACCTTTACACGTTGCTACTGAACTTGCTGTATATTTCAGCGGGTCAGTAGTGGCTCTCGCTTTTCTCTTTATTTCTGTTCCATTAAAAGAGCAAAGGAACTCGCTCCCATCTCCTCTATACGGTCTACAGAGCTCTACAATGCCCCCTTCTCCTCTACTGAACTCGTTTCCGCCTCACAGTTGTGCTACAATAAACATGAAGGCCCTGACGGCATACATTACCGTATTCTACATCTTCCATCTACCCCCTTACTCTTCCTACTAGCAATCTCCAGCAACTTTCTTCCTCACTCGCTTGAAGAACTAATCCTATCTTTCCTTAAACCCAATAAATCCGGCACCTTCCCTCATTGCACTGACTGTTTGTGCAAATTGCTAGAAAGAATTTTCAATCTGCGCCTAATGTTGTACCTTGAATCCAACAGCCTGATCTACCTCTATGCTCCTCATGCAATGTACCCCCTTCAGTCCCAACACATCCTACGATCCCTGTCCCAACTTCACAGCAGTCCGTACCTCTGGTTTTCCTCCTCTATCCTCACTCCCCCGACCCTCCAACCTATTAGACGTCTTCACGAAATCCTCAACCTTTCCCTTAGACAATTTCTTCTCCTTCCTCAGACGCATAAATATCCTCCATTTGATCTAATTGTCTTACCCCCCTTAACTCCGTCCCCTTCTAACAATCTTTACCTTGTACTAAACCCCTCACCCTCTCTACTCTTTCATTCCCATACTACCTTCAGTACTGGTTAACTTCTAACTTTAAACTAACCATTAACTCATTCCTAACCCTTTTCCGCTACTATACTTTACCATAATGCCCTATGACTTTGCTGTCTAGCATATTTATTTGTTTTAACTATTAACCATTAACCTCCATCCCTTCCTCTCTCTTTTTTCTCTTTCCCACCCTCCCTCCCTCTCTCTCTCATCCTCCCTCCTTCCCCTCCCCTCCCCCATCCTCCCTCCCTGTCTCTCTCCCTCCCTCCCCTTCCTCTCTCCCATCCTCCCTCCCCTTCCTCTCTCCCATCCTCCCTCCCCTTCCTCTCTCCCATCCTCCCTCCCCTTCCTCTCTCCCATCCTCCCTCCCCTTCCTCTCTCCCATCCTCCCTCCCCTTCCTCTCTCCCATCCTCCCTCCCCTTCCTCTCTCCCATCCTCCCTCCCCTTCCTCTCTCCCATCCTCCCTCCCCTTCCTCTCTCCCATCCTCCCTCCCCTTCCTCTCTCCCATCCTCCCTCCCCTTCCTCTCTCCCATCCTCCCTCCCCTTCCTCTCTCCCATCCTCCCTCCCCTTCCTCTCTCCCATCCTCCCTCCCCTTCCTCTCTCCCATCCTCCCTCCCCTTCCTCTCTCCCATCCTCCCTCCCCTTCCTCCCTCCCCTTCCCCTCCCCCATCCTCCCTCCCCTTCCTCTCTCCCTTCCTCCCTCCCCTTCCTCTCTCCCATCCTCCCTCCCCTTCCTCCCTCCCCTTCCCCTCCCCCATCCTCCCTCCCCTTCCTCTCTCCCATCCTCCTTCCCCTTCCTCTCTCCCATCCTCCCTCCCCTTCCTCTCTCCCATCCTCCCTCCCCTTCCCCTCCCCCATCCTCCCTCCCCTTCCTCTCTCCCTTCCTCCCTCCCCTTCCTCTCTCCCTTCCTCCCTCCTCTTCCTCTCTCCC